TGGATTAATTATGTTGTATTAGGTTTTAGTTTTGAGAGTTTATGGTTTGTGAGGGATCAAAATATTTTTTAGGGTTTATAATTTTAAGATTTAGGCTTTAAAAATCTATAATTAGTGGTATTTTTGCGAATAAATAATCTATTGTGGCCTTTTTAAAAAGTTACTCATCAAAAGTGGTATTTTGCAATTATCCCTAACAAGAATTAGAAGAGTTATATGCAAAAACATATTCTTTATTTCGCTGAAAAAAATATATTTTAAAAAAATAAATATAGATAATATTTTTGAACCGTTTAGATCTTTTTTTAAGTAATGAAAGATAGGTAATATTGTATTTATATATGTTTTTACTAATGTTACATAAAGGGTTAACGTTATAATTTTTTTTTTTTTTTGTTATCAGCAAAATTTACAAAAATAGGTTTTTCCTTTAAAAATATTTATTTAACGTATCGTTATTACACTTAAATAATATCTCTTCTAAACTTTACTCGATTTCATTAGATTATGTTAAAATGATCTACAGTTGGCGTCAGATTTCCTTCTTAAGAACAACGGTTAAAAACGACTAAGCTCGGAAACCGGAAAAAATGACTTTGGCACGAAAATCTTGCTCAACAGTCAGTCTAGCATCAAAGAAAAAACTGGTATATGTGATGTGTTTAAGACAGCTTCCACCGAATGCAGAAACTGCCATAGGCGTTGTGTCGAAGACATTGTGCCAAAAGCACCTGCTTAAGGCGTTGTGCCGATGGACTTATGCCGATGATAGTGTGCCGAAAGCGAAAATTGGGCCAAAGGTGAAGACTAGGCCGATTCGCCGTACAACGAGTTAGGCCCAATCGTCGCTTTAGATCTTGCGGTAAATTTGGCACTTCGTAAGCCTAGTTTGGTGTGATGGCTTCGGCTTGGTGACTTTGGCCCTTCGTGGTCTTCGGCTCGGCATCGACCTTACGGGTTCGGCACTGCTTTCTTTATTGGACTCGACCTAACTTGTAAAAATAAAAATCTTTTGGTGGGATTGCATAGCTTTTTATTGGTTTTGAAACTCAATTAGTTTATACTTAAAACACATGCATATGAGTGTTTAGCCATGATGAAAACTGATAGCAAAGAGAATATCGACAAAAAGAAAGAAGACATATTGAGCCACA